GGTTCAGTGACACGAATCAGCCTGCTCTACCATGAGACTTAGGACGGAGGAGAATCAGAGAAGGGAGGGAGAGGACACACTCATTCTGTCCTTTCCAGGTCAAAGTGCCTCCTTGTTGCCGCTGTGTTTCTATTGCTGCGGTTTGATGCACTGAGATTACAGAACAGTGAAATAAAAGCTGTGTTTTGTGATGCTGCTAGGTTTTTTTTTCACCTCTGGCTACAGGGGACTTCCCTCAGTGTGCAGGGCCACCCACTGAGAGCTGAGTTCTCAGCTTTGGTGAGGTGGGCAGTTGAGAATGGTGTGGGGTAAGCCAGATTCTGGGCTTTGCTGAGGTGGGCAGCAACCATCCTAGTGTGGTGAGACCTCAGGCCTTACCTGCTCTTTAAGGCTGCAGGATCAGAGAACTGATCTTCTCCAGATCACCTGCCTCAGCTGTGACTGTTCATCTCATTAGAAACAACAAGGTCCATGCAATGGCTGAGGTTCCCTTGGGGAATTACAGCAGTGTTGGGGATTTTACACTTGGGAGTTGAAAGTATGTCAGTAAGTAAACAGAGCCCTTGATGAGATCCTTTCCTGTTGCAAATCAGTGCTACACCACTGAAGCCATGCCACTTATGCTAGGGCAAGGATTTGACCTATGTGGGAATCAGGTTTATACCATTGAATTGTCTGTTCTTATAATTAGTTAATAACTTCTGAATCTGTTGGTTGATTTTATTTACTCTTTCAAGCAGGTAAGAAGGCTGAAGTCGATAGAACATCAGTACTAAGTTAGCTGGGGGGATACAACTAGCTCTGCAAAAAGACTAATCTCAAAAAAATTTGTTTCCTTTTTGCTGTCAGCCAGCACTCATGAAACTCTGAAGTAAGCAGGATTGTATTACTTGGCTTGTGGCTGGGGGATATGGGAGGAAGTAAAGGTTGAGGAAGCCTGTTTGGATGGGGAGGATTTGAAGGGCTATTGCTGGGAAGGAACCAGGGCTTATGAGAGTTCTGTGGTGTTATGGACCCAGGACACGCATTAAGGGAAGACCAGCCTTTGTTAGTTCTGCTGCTGGCAGAGGCAAACTCCAAGTGTAAGGAGGAGCTTTTGCAGCCTGGTCTGGGAGTAGTTGGCAACCAGTCTGGCTTCCTGGCTGTCCCCCACCAGGAAGATGGAAGTTGATTTTCAAAGGCAGCACTTGTACAGCATCAGAAGGGGTCATAACACAGGTGAGCTGGTAGCCCTGGAGGTAGCATTTGCTTAACAAGTATATAAGGGAAGTCCTAGCTTTCTGAGATCATTTAACAAGCCTGGTATTTCTTAGATTGTGCCTTTCTGGATCCAGTTATAGAACCCTGTGCATTCCAGCCTCCCCCTTTAACTCAGGCCACTTGTACTGCTGAGAAATAAGCATGTGTTTTCCATGTATTTCTCAGATGCATTTGACTCTAGTTCCCTCCAGCACACACAGCTCCTGCTACCCATGGACTCGTGCAGAGACTGGCTATTTATCCTGCCTTTGCTGTGAGTCCTTCCCGCTTGCCCCTTTGTCCTCCTGTTGCTCAGTTCTGCTTCAGGTTTACCCCAGCGAGCACTGTCCCTGAAACTCTTAGCAGGGAAACCAGGAAGGGGGAAGCAAGGTGACCCGTTCAAGGGTCTTTGAGAGGCTTGTGGTGGAAGCTTGGTGGCCATGGTGCAGTATATGTCCTTGCAAACCCTGCTGGAAAATTCTCCTCTGTTTATAGCACTATCTCAGCTGGCTGGTAACAGCATCTGGTCTATGGACAGCAGCTCATCAGCATTGCCTCCTCCCATGAGGGCATATGCTACCACAGCATCCCCTTGCAGCTCGACAGAGAAACCATTTCTGTTGGGAGAGAAGGCCTTTGGGTTGACAAAGAACTGGGAAGGGGGGGCAGTAGGAAAGATCCCTGGGCACAGAGAACAGAGCTCTAATCCTGTTGCTGATAACATCATGTCTGCAGGCTAGGCTTGTGTGTGTTTGGGGGAGTTGGAGGGGCAGAGATTGTTAGGCAGTATTTGTTTGTAAAGCCACTTGCTCTGAAGATAATGCTTGCACTAACTTCTATTGAGGGAGCAGTGTGAGTCCCCACAAAGTCCTTTCCCAAAGTGTCTTTGAAGCCAAGAACCCATTGAAAAGAAGAAAGGCCAAGAGAGGGGATTAGTTTGTTCAGCAGCTGTGAATTTCAGTGGGAGGCTGATGAACTCCAAAGTCTTTGTTGAGATGTTTTTTGTAAGGAGCCCTGCTGGAGGGAGAGACCCACACGGGGGCCACGGCCTTAGACAAGAAGGAATCCGAAGCGGCAGGGAGCTGTAAACGGGCCACAAGGACTTTTCCCAAACACTTTTCGGAAAAGGTGTTGTGAAGAGATCGGAGGGGGATTAGCATGTGAAATGACACTTTCCATTGACTCCACAGAGGGGAGGGGAAAAGGGCTGGCTGGCTGATTTATTAGCATTTTGTTCCCTTCTCTATTCTGCTTCCACCCAGCAGCCCCCCTCCCCTTGCTCCCCTCCTCCCCGAGCCCTCTAAAGAGGTTTGGATTGGAAAAGGGAGCGGGGGGCTGCCTGTTTGTGTGTCATCTGGGTGAAGGTGACCACCTGGGAAGCTGAATGTAAATATTTCTCCTCTGAGGAATGCGCCTTCATTAAACCGAAATGAATACATGGAAGCATCCAATCCTGCCGCACAATGGCAGCAGGGCTTTTACCGCTCGGGGCTCCTTGCGCCGGGGAGGGGGGACCCTGCGGCCCCGACCTGCTGCTGAGGTCAGCACATTTTGCAGCTGCGGTGTCGCTGTGTTCGCCCAGAGAAAGGAGCGTGCGGCGGTGGGGCTTGTGTTTGTAACGCTCGCCGCGCGGCCCCTGGGCCGACAGGAGGCACTGCGCCCAGTGGGCACGTCCTGGGCTCTGCCATGGCCTTCACAGCCAAACGCGTGGGGCAGTACTGTCGGCAGGGGAGGGATGGGCTGGTACTGTCCCTATGATGTGCTGAGTGAGGAGGAAATGGGAAACGGCTTCCACATCTTCTCCTTTTCTTACCTTTCCAGCTGGCCATGGAATGGTGGGCACAGAGGGGTATGGGGGTATAAGCTGTCCTCTGCCTTGCAGTGGTCCTCAAGCCAGCCCATGCTGGAGCTTTCCCTGCTAAGTGACAGGCTCTCGCCGCATCTTTGCTTTCCTGTCCAAGGATGCATTCCCACCACAGGGACACAGAATCACAGAATCAAATAGGTCGGAAAAGACCTTTAAGACCATAAAGTCCAACTGTTGCCCTAGGACTGCCAAGACCACCACTAAAGCATGTCAATGGATGGAGGAACTGCTGACAGAAATGCAAAAGAGACCGAGGGCTAGGTCACTGTGTTAATAAGAACCTGTGAATAAACAGCTGACGATTTGTGTGTGAAGGGAAAGTTTCAGGTTTCCCTGAGAATGGGCCAAGATTGTTTCCTGCAGTTTTTGCGCCAGATTGATGTGAATGCTCTTGCTCTGGAGAGACCCCAGTTTGCTGTAGGTGCAGACTGCCACTCCCAATGAAGTAGTCCTAGGATCAAGGGAGTATTTGATAAATAAAAGAGACATACAGACTGCTAAGTGTCTTCAATGTAGCATCTATGAAGTGGGCAACTGGGCCGCTGTCTGGCACCCTACCCACCCTCTTTGGTCCTGGCAACTGCATTGCAGTTGGATGTAACCTCAAGCAAGTTCAAGGAGAGAGCAGGTCCATTCTCCTCCTGGTGGGGGCTGAGGTTGTGCTGTGTGGAGAGAACTGGTCAGCTCTTCTGATGCTCAACAGATGAGTAAGCAGCTGGGTTTTACTCTCCAGCACTATAACTATGTACATCCACACAATTAGATGAAAAAAGACACCCAACTACTTAGACACAACAATGTTTTGCAAGCACTTGGCTACTGATTTATTGCATTGGCTATTGGTTTACAAGTATTGGCTACAAGACAGGTCTAATTGTGAGTAACAGCTCTGCTGGCTTCTCATCTGGCTAAAGGACACTTCAAGCAGCAAAGCAGATGATAACCTCACAGGCCAGGGGAGATCGCTCTGATGGTGCAATGAGCCTCCCCAGGTCCTGCAGCTGACAGCTTCTTCCCTCCCTACCCCAACCAAGGCAAGGGAACAAAGATGCTTCAACCAAATCTTCCTGCTTCTTGCTTAGCCTATAGAATATATACAATAAGTGGTAGAGGGGAAACTGTTATGTATACATCACAGTAACTGTGCAATAAATTAAACTTCAAAGTGCTTCACTTTCCTATTTACACCACCATTAAATAGTAACTGACATTATTTTCTCAGACTAGGAGGAAGTATTTAGTTAGTTAGCTGACAGGGTAAGAGTGCTTGGCAAGTACACCAGGAGGTGGGGAATAGGTTCAGCTGGCAGCTCTTCTCTGGGAGAGATATGGGAGAAAAGAGGGACTGGAGAACTGTGAGGGCATGTTTATGGCATCAGTTAAGGGCTTTGGCAGGGATGCTGATGTGAAAAGGGAGACCATACCCGAATGCTCAGAAGATACAGAGAAAACATTTTAAAAGCCCATGGTGGGACTCCTCTTTAGGACGGCTGTTTAATAGGCAGATCAAACAGAAGCTTCAATCTCACTTCTGCCGTCTCAAATTCAAAGTAAAGCACTGGAGAGCTTAGCAAAGCTGTCAAAGGATGGGAAGTGATGCTATGGGACTTGTGGAGGCTGGCTTACTGCAGGAAGGAATTGCACACCTTTTCTATTCCCTCATAATGTAGTATGTAATAAAAGGTAGTAACAACTTTTTTAATTCCTCTATTTTTTTAGGGTACTAGAAATATCTTCTGGTGTAGAGATTACCACTCTGGGTTTCCCAACTCTGGTGGTGCCATCTCGCTTCCTTGTGCTTTCCTAAGTGTTGATCTCACTTAAAAGCTCAGAGTAGTTGGTTGCTGGGTAACAGACAAGCTCAAAAAAGCAGGAGCCATTGAGACTGCCTGTGTTTCCAACAAGAAAACCATAGTCACTGGATAGAGTGACTCTGAGTTGAACAAACCAAATCTCACCTTGCTTTGCCAACGCTTAAGGGTCTTACCAGAAGTCATCCACCCACTACACTAATGGGAAACGCCATGTATGGCTAAGGCCTGGGGTCTCATATAAGCTCTTTACCCAGCCCCTTGTGTGGCAGCACTGGGGATGAGACAGAACTAAGCCAAAGGAAATGGTGCTGGGGGCTGATGGGGAGGGCAGGAGAGAAGAGGGGCAGATGGGACCATGGAGGGGCAGAAACAAGTTAGAGCTTTCTCTTGAGCTTGCGCCCGGCCCCACCACCGCCGCTGCGCTCCCGCTTCTCCTTGCGGACACAGAAGTATTTGGTGACGCGCTTGCGGCACTGCTCGCACCGCACGGCGCAGCACCAGTGGAACTTGCAGTTGCAGCTCGACACCATCTCAGCTCGCCTCTCCTCCACCGCCAGCCCGCAGTCCCCACACAGCCGCCGGCAGCTCCGCTTCTCCCACTTGCTGAGCGCCTTGCCCCGCTTCAGGCACTCCCTGCCCTCCGTGCCCAGCAGCCCCAGCGTCTTGTTCTCCAGGCAGTAGTCAGGAGAGTCTTCCAAATGGACCAGCTCCTTCTTGGAGATGGAGCTGAAGGTCTCGGCGATGGCACCCCGGCTGGCAGCGCTGTTTCCTGCACCTTGCAGCAAGTCCACCTTTAGGGCTTTGTGGTACCTTTCCTTGAGGTAAGTGCCCACCTCCCGAAACTCAGGCAGCTGCAGCCAGCAGGTCTGGGTGGTGCAGCTCCCCGACACACCATGGCACTTGCAAGTCCGCTTCATGGTCCCTTTCACAGCCTACGGGGTGAGGGAGAGAGAGGGGATTCAGGAAAAAGCCCACAGGGGTCATTTCATACAGCAGTACATGGAGAAACATGGTTCCAGGCCCTTCAGGACTGGTTTGCCATTGCCTCTCCCTGCACAGTGGTTCTGCCCCGGGGTTGTTGGCTTAAAGCTCACAGATTTGCTTCTCCATGGTACTCCTCTACTTGAACAGGGAGAAAGAGGGCAGCAGGAAGCCATTAACAGTGTAATCACGGAAGGTTTGCTACCTTACAACAAGCACTACCCATCACGTCAGCGCTGCTGCCATCTCCTTCTCCTTGACAGGGTGGTTGTTTCTTCTGGACATGTGCTTTCAGCCGCAGCAAGTTGTGACTGTGCACAGTGAATGGCCAGAGCCAATCATCTGGTGTGCACTCTCAGGTCTGGGGGGAGAGAGGGGCTCACCTTTCTACCCGCCTCATTGTTATGCAGGTTCATAGCAGCTCTGGCATCTTGTCCAGTCTCCAGGGCATCCACAAACTGCTTGGAAATGGCTTCCCCAAAGCCCACGTTATCGCTGCAGCCTCCCCACAGCCAGCCTTGGCCCCCTAGGAAAGATGAGATGAGTGACGTTAGGGAGCCAGCCCCTCGCCTACCTGGCTTGTGGCTCTGAGGATGAGAAAGGGTCTCAGAAGTGATGGGAGGGAATGGAGGCTGTGGGGCAAATCCAGCCTTTTGCCTCTTGATACTCCCCAACTCCCTCCCCTTCAGCTCATGCATTTCTGTTGAAGCCTGGATAGTAGGATAGGACATTGCCTGCATGAGGCAATGTCCTGTGTGACAAACATAGGAATTTCCAGGCTTTCTATGGAGCAGGATTCAGAAGCTGTTCATTATCATGCGTTAGCAGCTATATTGATAAAGCTTTGGGTCTTCATCAGCTTCCCTCAAACCCTGACTTGAGCTGGTTCAGTTTGACTTGCAGGGACACCGTCTTGCTAACATGGATTAGCAAACTGGTGGAGTCATCCTGGTCAGAAAGAACAGATTCCCCTCTGCTAGCAAACCCCTGCCTGGCACACACATATCGAGGAGGCCCTCTTTTTGGTACACCCAGAATCCTGATGATCAGGCCTCAGAAGGGTCTGATTTTCCAATTATCATAAAGAAGCAAAGGAATCAGCACACAACTGGGAAACTGCATAGCAAGATGCGGAGGGTACTTTTCCTAACTGTGTGGGAGCTTGGTAACAGCTCAGCTGACTGGGAACATGTCATGCAATTTGCTTCTTTTCCTCCTAGAGAAGAATGCCACATCCTTTGTGAAGATTTGAGATCTGGAGCATTCTGACTGTAACACGCCTTGGAGTTGTGGTTTAATGGCCTTGAGTCTCTCTTGAAAGGCCTGGCCCTTGCCCGGGCTTCACCAGAGCATGGAGGTCCCCTCTCTCAGGGAAAGGCAGGGTCCCCTCTCTCATGGGAGGCAGGTAATTACAGTGGATAATGAAGTCCAAATCAAGTGCTTGGGACCAAAGGAAGAATGCAAACCTTTCACCAACTTGGATTCAGCGCAACAGCATTTAGAATTGAATCACACTGTTTCGGACAAACCCAAATGTTTTCTTTACTTCCCAAGGTTTTCAGTTTATAGTGGAAAATTTTCATAAAAACAGCTGTTCCGGAGCAAGGAAGTGTAGCATGACTAACTCAGTTTTCCAGAAGAGATAAAATTTGGTGTGTCATTGCTCTGCTAGAGATGGGCTATCCCACATCTCAGACACCTAAGCACCAGTGGCTGTTTTAAAACTATTAGCCAATAAAGCAACTTGTTAAATACTGGATATTCCAGGGGAGTTTGTCATAAACTGACACATACTAACTCTGGTGCTGCTGTGTGAAGCAAAGCTTTTAAAGGATTTGGTAATTTGACATTAGGCATCTTTCATTTCAAAACAAAAGACTGAAATGTCAATGTTTTCCATGAAAGCTGAGCCAAGAGCTGGAACAGTGCAGCTGGGGGTTCTCTACACAGGATTCCTTAGTGGCTGCAGGCCTGGGTACCACTGCGATGGGAACAGGATTAAAGGCTGTGTGCTACCACAGCGGTTCTCCTGGCTATGCTCTCGTGTGCCTGCCATGCTGGCAAACATTGGAGGGCTTTATGAATGCCACCCTGCTTTACCTCCTGGTAAGTGTGCTCTGGAGCCACCCTGGTCTTGCTGACCCTGGGAGTCCTGAGGTACCTGGTCAGAACTGCTCTAACCAGACCTGCCATTTAGATGCACGACATCAGATCCTCTCCTCTGCCTTATGGTACAGTCATTCCCTCCAGCAGCTTAAACAGAGTTGTTCTTAATTTGAACCAGGGAAACTGCCACCCCATTCTGCTTTCATGCTCATTTAGAAAGTAATGGAAAACATCAAGGGCTTGGCCTCAGCTGGTGTAAACTGGAGGTGGCCCCATTAGCTTCCACAGAGCTACTTTGGTTTGAGCCAGGCAAAGCTCTGCTCTGGGTACTACTTCCGGGTGCAGGGACCAGGAAGAGGAGTTGTTTGTTTCTGAAGGCCTCAGCAGAGGAGAGAAGAGCTGTCTCTGCTGCCAGGGATGTGAAGAGGGGTGGCCGCTGGCCTCTCCTTACCCAGCTGTCCATTGCGGGAGTCGTCACAGCCACAGTTGTCAAAGTCCCCCAGGCTGCAGTTCCGGGTCAGCGTGTACATGACGCCTGCGGAGCTGATGGCGTGGACAAAAGCGGTCTCCCGGTTTGCTGCCAAATGGGAATACAAGGGGAGCAGATTCCACAGTGAGACCAGTGTTGGAAATGACTCCTGCCATGCAGGAGACAGTGTAGGAAGAGACCTGCAATGGGCAGGGCTTTCTGGAGTGGAGAGGAAGCCCTACATGTCAGATCAGCTTTGTTTTGGCTTGAACTGCACAAAGACAGAAGTTCCCAAATCCAAACCAGAATGACTCGTGCCATTTCCAAGAGTGCAGATAAATTTAGCACTTGGCTCTCCCTGTGGGAGCTCGGCAGTAGCGATACAGCACAGCCAGCCAAATGTCCCCATATCTCACTAACACACCCCAGAGGGAAAGTGGCCTTCTCCAAGGATCAAACAGCTCCTTCCCCACAGCCCTCTTGAGTCTTCCCTTCTGCTGGACACTGTGCAGGGCTCAGAGCAGTGACCATACACCTACCCGCCAGGATCAGTGTAGCAATCACCTGACTTCGCTGAGCCCTTGGCTCTCATTTAATACCTGCAAGGCCTGCATCTGAGCAGATAACTTTGATCCCAGTCCCTGAGCATTACCTTGTGCTGTAATTGCCTCCGCAAGACCCCACTCTAAAACCCCTCTCCACCTCTGCCTGGGGCCCTGGTCCCTCCACACCCAGGCCTGTCTCTTGTACAGCACCCCTGGGCATTCCCGGGACAAGCATATCGCAGGTGGGGACGGGGAAGAAAAGGAGGCACTTGAGAGGGGTCCCCCCGGCCCTAACCTGCAGCGGGGGGGGGGTGTGGGGTGTGGGTGCCGGTAGTGGTACCCACTGCTGCCCTTACCGCTGCGCAGCCCGCCGTGGCTGGAGAGCTGCAGTGCCCTCTCGGGGCAGTTCCAGCGGTCCCAGGCGAACTGGAACTTGCACTCCTCGATGCCGCTCTGCGCCCCGGCCGCCACACTGCTGGAGTAGATGAGGTAGGCCTAGGAGCACAGCAGCAGGTCAGGAGGGGAATGGTGTGTGCCCTGCGCAGCCCCCCTAACAATGGGGCAAAACCTCACGTGTTCGAGTGTCAAAATCGTCTGGGTGCATCGGCCAGCATGCAGAGACAAGCCCCGGGGGTGACAGGATGGGAATGTCCCCAGGCTACTCAGCAGCTCTAGTTCCCATCACACACAGTGCAAAGCTGGTGTAGCCCCAGCCCCAGCGGTGGGGCTGATGCAGGCGTAACTTTCCTGCCTTGTGCTGCATATTGTGGGTCCTGCTGCTTTGGGGTCTAGATGGATGGTGAAGCACAGCGCAAAACAAGAGGCAGAACATGGCCCCAGGCTCCCCAGGAAGCTGGCTTTCAATTGAAAATTACTTGCAGGCCATTTTGCAGAGACAAGATGAACAGAGCTGAGGTCTCCAGGCTTGGCTCCCTGGAGAGCACTAACAGCAGCGAATGCATTTTGTGCTGTGCTGGGTCAGAGCCTGAGTCTCCTGGGGAGAAGGCTGAGCCAGGTTAGGAGGTGTGCCAGACAGCCCTGCCATGGGGAACCTTTTATCTCCCCAGCGTGAGGAGGCAGAGCCTTCTCCTCAGAGACCACAGAGCCCCAGGCCAGCCACTGCCGCAACCTGCCCTCTCCGTCACGGGAGACCCAGGGGAACAGAGGGTGCTCTGGGGCAAGGTCACTCCACTGTAGCATTAAGACCTGTAGAAAGAACCAGATGGGCTTGGAGGTGTTCCTGGAGAACAGCCAGAACAAAAAAGGGGTGAATTTTACAATGAGTCCTGGCTAGGAAAAGAAGCCTCTGAAAGAGGGGTACAAGGAGGCATGGGGTCAGAAACACTGAACAAGGTCCTGGCAATTCCAGCTGTGTTCCTTGGGGAGGTGTGTTCTGCAAGGCCTATAGAAAGTACCTTTCCAGCTCAATGAAGGTGGGTTCTGATGCTAACCTGATCATCAGGAGGCAATAGATGGCAAGTGACACCCTCAGCTGGTGCCAACAGACAAACTCCAAAATCTGGCCCCAGCCAGCTTAAAAGTACCTTTGGTTGGGGAGCCCAAGGAATTGCAGCTTGTAGCAGGTCACTCCTGATGCTCCCGTCCTGCTGCTGGCAACATGGGGGTGAGGGGAGCTCTGGCTAAGGCTGCGTGGAGAGAAGTGGGAAGGAGCAGCCCCTCCCTCCCTGGGTTTAGTGGAATCAGCGACAGAGATCAAAGGGTTTTCTCTTACCTTGGGGCCCGTCATCAGGAAATTATTCACTGACCTGGAAGACAGAGACGGTGTCAGAGGGAGGGGGTGATGGTGGAGGGGCCTGGGGAATGCCTGGCATCCCAGGGCTCTCCTCTCACCCCCACAGCCTGCCTGTCTCCTGGCTGCAGGCACCTTTGGTCTCCCCCCCTTGCTGCTCCCTGTGAGCCAGGATGCTGCTTTCTCCTTTCCCCACACCCTGCTTCGCCAACCAGGCTGCAACCCTCCCGCTGCTCCCTCCTTTTGCTTTTCTCTGCACATCTACCCTTCATGCCAATCCCTCCATTTTTCTAGTGTTTTCCTTTTCCACCAGCCTTGCTTTTTACCTTACCAAGCTGCTTCTTGGCTTAACTCAGGGTAGTGTTGCCCCCAGTGCCAGGAGCTGGACTATGCCAAGGGAAGGAGGAGGTCACACCGCTGTTCCTTCAGAGTGTGTGTCCTGGCAGCATCCCTTCAGCTCACGGTCCTTTGTTTTCTTGTGGTGCCAGCACTGGCTGCCCGCACTCTCCCCTTGGAGTGGTAGCTGAGCACAAACACGCTTATCCTTCCCATCCTGCTGGGCACTGCATGGGGGGCAGTGAGGGTTCAAGGGGAAGGTGTGAGGTTCTAGCCAAAACAACTTCCTGGAGTTCCCACTGAAGGTGTGAAGGGATTATCTCCAAGGACCGCAAGGCTGGTCTTCATCACTCAGAGGCCTACAGAGCAGACCCAATGCTGGCCTGTCCGAGACTCTTCCTCCAGCAAGAAAGCCTGTTTCAGTCCAGCATTAGGACTCTATGGGGTTCAGTGACCACCACTGGGAATCCAGTACTCACCATGTAGGGAGTGAGTGGGAAAAATGCTAGAGGAGGCACTGAGAGGAACTGGGCTTCTCCTTGAGATTATGTTCTGCTCCAAATGCTGGATGTCTCCCAGTGAAGGATGCCTCTCCTTTTCAGCTAGCCCTTATAGAGCCTTAACCTACATCTGTCCCTTGAGTGGAGAAGCAAGCTCAAAGCTGCAGTTGGGCTACCTGGCGTGCAGTGATGTTTGCTGCTTTTTCTAACTCCTCTCCATTCCCTGAAAATACAGTAGCTGGGTGACCATGGCTGGATGTAGAGGAGAAAGGTGCAGGTTAGGGTAAGGCTTTTCTCCCTGTGTGTTTTCAAGTGATGCTGTCTGGAGCCACAGGTATCCCTGGTAAAGGAGAGAAAGGCACTGTCCTGTTCTGCTACAAATCCAGCATGGAGAATGTGGATGCATCCCAGCATGGCACTGAGTACAGGCAGGAGCAGGCACTGCCACCCCAGACTGGGGGACAAAATGTAGCCATGTTGCAGCCATGCCATGCACATGGGGGCAGACAAGGTGGCAGGACTGGTGCTCAGACATCAGATGCATGAGAGACTTAGAGAGGGCATTTCCCTGCCGTGGAAAACAACTCGTGTGGTCGGTGAGCCTGTTCACCTGCACTAGAACTGCCCTCAGATGTCCTCTCCGAAGTACGCCACAAAAAGGTGATCTCATTATTTCAGCTTGGTAGAAATCACAAGAAACCCAACCTTTGCTGTTGCTCACAGTTTAGTCAGAACTGAGAGAAAGTTTGCAAAGTTTTACTCTGGCAAGTCTAATTTTTATTTTTTTTTTTTTGGTGGAAATTCATCTGTATTGATGGAGCTTGCATTGGGAAATATTCCCCTGGGCCAAAACAGGAGGGAGAGGGCTGTGCCAGAGCACTGTGAGAGCAGGAGATCCTTTCCCTTTGTTCCAGGCCTGGGATTCAGACCCAGCTGCGCTCCAGCCCCCGTGGGTACTTTAGCACGAAGTCGATGGCTGTTTTGCAGAGGAATTTTCCTTTGGGAGCTGCTTCTGCATTGTACAGCTAATTAAATATTTCCTGGGACTTGGAGAGACGGCATCTGTAGCCGGGTGATTAGAGCATCGGGTGACCTGAATCACACAGGGCCATGAACCTGGGGCTATTCAGACTGTGTAAGCTCCATGGGTCCCCATCCTAACGCAACTGGGTAGCAGCATGAACAAGTCATTTTTCCATCTGGTTTCCCTCATGTCTTTTGCCTTGACCTTAAGTGCTTTGCTATGGGGACCACACTCAGGATGGTGTCAGTGTGAATCTGAGCCCCTGGTAGCAGCTGTGAGAAAGCCCTGGCAAAATGCTCCTGTATAGGCAAGATCTAGAGAACTGCAAGTCCTTTCTTATCTTGCTGTTGTGGCCAAAACAAGAGATACATCCCACCTGCTTTGCTTCCTACCCGGGTAGGAAAAGCTGAATTCACAGCATGCAAGAAGGATTTGCTTCAAACCGTTGCTGGCCTTATCTTGGATTAGGAACATCTGAGCAGTTAGAAGGGTAGCTTTAGGAGGAGGACAGTAGTCCACAGATTCAGGGTTTACAGCAAACCAGGCTGTTAGCAGGTGTCAATTGACATAACTGCATTGAAGCAGAGGATCTGTTCCTCACAGGATAAACCTCAAGGTTCACAAAAAGGCCAAGTTCAGGATATGTTGGTTCATCACCTGCAGCTGAATAAATGGTACAGTAGTGATTTCCCAGCAGGATATTCTAAACTTTTTTATTAAGTCAGAGAGACAGAAGGCATTTTCCCTGAGCTCTCTGATCAACGGGCAGGCACGCTGCTGGGCAGGTTTGTAGGACTTAGACAAGTAAAGGGTTAATTTAGACTGGTACACCTGACCCCCCACATTTAACTCCTGCAGCTGCAAGTGGGTTTGGGAGAAGGGGAGACGGGACTGTTGTATGGCTGGAGGCTAGCTGAAATTCTTCATTTTTACACTGAGAGGGAAGGAAAGATAATAACAGAAACAAAATCTGTGCTCTTTGTCTTTGCTCATATGATCTAGCTAAGCAAAATGCGTATCTCTTTTGGATATAGTCTCCAGCAAGGGCAGGGAGTAATTAAGCCACAGATGTAGTGCAAAACTGCTAATGCTACTAGAGTCATCCCTGTGCTACAAATAGGAATCACTATGAAAATTAATCTCTCTTCATTTTTGTCTCTGTAGTGTGATTTTTATTATTTCTACTAATTTTCCATACCACTGTAAAGGAAAGTGGAATGTAACACTAAAAACTAACCAGCTAGGTGCATCCACAGCAGGTGTAAACCAGCTCCCATGACTTCAGTGTCACCACACTGATTTAAAACTTTCTGGAATCACACACTTCAAAGGAACCATTTAACATTATTTCTTATTATCTAAGAAAGCTCACAGGGTTTTAGATATCTGAACCTCTTTCCCTCTACCTTCAAACTCCAGCACAGTGCTACGGGACTGAAGTGGAGCAGAGACAGCCATCAGAAGGTAGAGAGAGGAGTCCCACCGAGTTCTTCAGCCCTATTCCCAGCCCATGCAGAGCCCTGGGAAGGGCACGCTCCTTCCCTCACTGCAACTCCATGCATCCAAGTAAAAGACAAATCTAGGGCAAGTGATTTTCTCTGCATCTGCTATTAGGAAATTGTTTCAAAGCTAATTAATATATATAACAGGAGTTCTCTATTGCAATTTTATTGAACCCAAAAACAACCCTGCCAAGCAGCTGTCCCATTATATTTTACACATATCTGATGCTAATAAGTCTCTGATAATTTCTGCCCAGTTGCAACTTTAAGCAATAACACCACCTCCCTCCTCAGTTTAATATGCCCCAAGAGCCTTACGAAACCTCCTGTTAAAGTATTTGGTAACTTATCAGCTGCTCATGCTACTGTGCTGCTGGCTCAGCCCTTCAGAAAATTATAAAGCTGTATTTACACTAATGACACTACTGTAAATACAGAAAATGGATACAATTTTGCTTTGGATCTGGGTTTCATTCTCAAGTACTGCTCCGCTAAGTTGCTAGAAAACCAGTGACACCGAAAACTAAAGGCAATGGCACAGATGAAATGTAAAAAACATTCAGAAACGAGCTGCTGTTAGAGATTGATACATTATTCCCATGGGATAGAACAGGCAGCAACTCAGTAGCATTTGGAGCCTTACTTTTTTATTCTGTTTCATTTCTCCTGTTCTATTTCTTTTTAGGTTCCTAAATGAAACCCTGACATTTTGCTCATCTAGGAACACATTGACCATTCAACCTAGCTAACACGGCAGAGTCTAATCCATGCTCACAGAAGGGAAGTGGCCACATATATACATATAAACCATTATTGTTGAACTATATTGTCCCCCACTCCCAATTCTCGCAATTAAATCATAGGAAGAAACTACCTTCTTGTGTTTCAAACTTTTGGATCAGATAAAGAAGACCAGCAAAAATTGCAAGCAGATTATTGTATGATTCCCATGAACCTTGCTTTTTTTTCTCCTCAAGATCTAAGGGACGGGATCTCTAATATGATAGTTTTGAATAAAGTTTGAAATTTTACTTTCTCTTAGGAAATCATGACCTATGAGCCCCAAGCAGAGAGAAACAGGGCTTTCTTGATAGATATAAACTTTGCTCTTAGATAAAAACTTCTGAAAGGCAGACAGTGAATTCAGACATCCAATTTCCATTGAAAATGCCTGGGATTTCTGTATTTAAGTCTACTTTGTGCTCTGAAATTTCTCCCCTTTGAACTGTTTCTTTAAAAGGTTGATTTTAAAAAAATTTTAATGTATTCTAAACCTGTTCATATTGAGGAAAGCAAGACACAGACAGCAGAAAGATAAAGATATAATCAGAATGAGTTCTCGCCTATCTCTGCATAAAGTACATATTCCTCTTTTTTCCAGAAGGGAGATTCATCTGGAGTTTGCTGCTGTATAATATTTAGACATATACAAATTGACACACATTCTTTTAATGAAGGGAGTAGAAAATCTCTGCAAGAACATAAATTTCCCTCCCAGCCTAACAGGAGCAAGTTCCCATTTACTCCTGAGTTTCTCTCTCTGTAAGTTTGTTTTCTCCATCCATGGTAATAACCCTGGAGATCTGCTATGGGGGAAGCAGGGGATTTTGGTAATTGAACGGGAGAAGACTTTCCTTGCTGTTAGCGATGAGTCTGTTACCTGCAAAGCAAGATTCCCTAGGGCATCACAGAAATGGAGAATAAATTCAGTAAAATTTACTACTGCTCAGTAAAAACCACAAAGGAAAAAACACCTACAGAGGCAGATCAGTTTAGTCCATCTGGGTATGGTATAAATACACCCTGCAAGGAATGACAGGAGATTTGATGCAGCTGTAATGCCTTTCTGCTTGCCCTTATAAAACAAATCTAAAACCATCTTTAGGGCAGAGCAGGATGCCCACAGGAGATGACTGCAGGTTTGCACACAGGGGAGCTGGTCTGACAGGACCCAGGTAGATGGGAACCAAGCTTTAGCAATCTCCACAGCAAAAGCTTCTCCCCAGGAAATCCTAATACGTGCATTTCAGACATGTGTAATCCTGACCCTGTGCCTGCCAAGGAGCCTGGGTCTCGGGCTGCTTATCCGGAATGATGCTCCTGCAGATCTAACTCACCCCTGCTGGCTCTGAGCTCTTGATCAGGGACTGTCTTATTTGGGGAGCATGGGAGAAGCCCCACTTGATTTGATTAAGACCAGAGACAAGCTGACTGTGAGTCTTTGGAGAAACAGAAATCCCTGGCTTTCCCATTGGGTTATCTTCCCAGTTGGAAGTAAGGGACCAGATCCTCTGCTTCCACTCTCCCCTACTCTGTTCTACTGTGGCTCAGGATTTGGCCCATATAGTTATTGCTGGGAGGTGTGGGGGAAAACTAGATCTAACCTCTCTGCCAACGAGCGTGTTGGGACTTAGTTAAGTATCTGGTCCCATTAAAGACTAGAATGGAGGTAAGTGGGAAAGGGGACATTTAGGAAGGTGAAGAAGAATTTCCTTAGGTGTCCAGGAAGAGCACCTGCCTGTGATACAGACTGAGGTGCTCTCGATACTCACCAGGCACAGCAGGATTGGAAGAAGGGAGTGAGGAAGAAGATGCCCAGATAAGGGTCCATGTGAAATATAAAATCCAAATAAAAAGAGAGAAAGATCCTAAAAAACCTTGGGTGCCACCAGAGGAAAAAGAAAATAAAAAAAAAAGGAAACACAACAGAATTAGGGAAGGGATGGAGCTATTTTCCACCCGGCTGTCCTAGTGTGATGAAGAGGCGTATGCCTCCTGAATCCCAAGTTCTGCGAAGGGTAACCAATCCTAAAGTAAGAGCTAAAGGGGGTTGGTGAAATGGAGCCGCAGAACTTCCTAAGAAGAGATTATCTACTTAATTAAAGATTTTTTTTTTTCTCTAAGTCCTTCAGCCAATCAGGACTCAAGTGCCAGAGAGAGATTGAACTGATGAAAAGAACACCCCAGGTTCCTCGAAGACAAATGCACCACGAAAGGGATAAGAGGGAGGGAAAAGGGGAAAACAAAAAAATAAAGAAAGAAAGGGAAAAAGAGAGAGAGAGGGATAACGAAAGAGACAGCAAATCCCTTAAATAATCACTGGATTCAATCTCCACCACACTGCCCTGCCTCTCCATCCCCTGCAATGGCAACTGGAAGGGCTGCTTTCAGCGTGCCCTTGCCTCCTCTTGACATCGCTGGGTGTGCTGGGTGCTCTGGGGTTGTGGGCTTGGGTTTGGGCTACCTGTGCCTGCTGCTTGGAGGCCATGCAGTGTGCCTCAGGGAGATAGCTGGGAAACAGATACATGAGCATCATCTCTGCCTCAGTCTCCCCCAGGAATTTAAGTGAAATCAGGACCAGTTCCTAGCTCCATCTGGTCCTCCTTCATCATGGTGACCTGCTCTTTCTTCTCCACCTCCTGTTTGCAACATGCCACTCTCATTCCAGGACAAAGGCCTCTGACTAAACCTTCCCATTCCTCCTTATTTTTTGACTTTTGGGATTTCCTATGAAGTCCATGGAAGGTGGTCTTTGGTTTGGGACAGTCAGCAGTTTCTCAGTGACATCTTATTCCAGGCAAATAGCTGCTGGAGCTACTTAGAAGTGCATCCAGCCTGTGCCCCTGGCCACATAGGACATCCTAGTTACTGTCACACTGCCCACCACAGCCACCCTGACCAGCCCCAGCTCAAGAGGACCCCCTGTGCCACCCTGTCCCAGCATCATAGGAGCAACTTCTCCACACTATAGAGCTCATTTTTGTGCTGTGGACATAATCAGGTAAACCGTGGGCTAAGACCAGTCAAACTCATTTCACCTGGGGTGCAGGTGCTGGACAGAAGAGCTGGACCAGGGCAGGATTTGAAGGGGAGCGAGAGTCTGCAGTAGAGTCATCAAGCAGGGCTGGCGGGAGCTCTTGGGGCCACCTCAGGTGGATGGAAATCCCTCCTGAATTGTGCAGCTCTGGGGAGGGAAACCCGCCCAGCAGAGATCGGCTCTCAGCTAGACTTTGGCCATCCCCTGCCAGAGACCAGCTCTGCTCAAGCCATGGTGATCCAGCTGGGCACAAGCAGGGTACAGCACACAAGGAACTGCTGGCAAGATGCTACCTTTGCCCAGAGTGCTGCCCCAGAGCTCTCACCCTAGGGGTGGCTGAACAGTTTTCACGGACCTGGGTGAGGAGAAAATGCAATTACTGATCCCAGGGCCAGCTGTGCTTCCCAGCTGCATCCTACTGCAGCAAGGCTGAGGGTATTTGCAGTAAGTAAAGGTCTAGGTTAAGGAGCTGTGAGCACTTTAAAGACTAAGGTATTATGTACAATGAGGAAAAGCTTGCAGATTTATCTAATAGAAAGTAAAACACCAGAAACTGAAAGGTGAAGGAAATAAGCTTTTTATTATTTATTTATTATATGGAAATAGAATTTCAATGCTGTGACGTTCAACAGGGCTTAGTGGTTTTGGTGGGTTAATTCAATGGTTTTGGTGGCTGTGCTCTCCCTCCCACAAGAGGCTGTCCCTGACTCAGTGTAGAGAGCAACTGCGGAGGTTGATGCTGCCTCAGGGGAGCTGAAGGGCTGCTGAGGCTGCCTGCCCTGCAGCGGCTCAGCCCCACCAGGGTGGCGCTGGTGAGGTGCAGGCGATGCTCCCATCTTGCACTTCGCATTTATTTCCTAGGACAGGAAGAAGAATTCTAGTTGTTTCTTGTAAGTCTCCAAATGCCTGCTTCAGGACTCTTGAACCAGAGTTCTTTAATTCCTCAGGTCCAGCAGCGACAGCATTTTGAATCATGCAACACTTGAGACATGTCTCAACTGACTGGAAAGGAAGAACACTATTGGGCTTACGGGGTGAACTATTTTTCTTTATTCCAAGACAAACTATGCAATGGGATTGCAAAAAAGAGGAAATAAATAATTGTAAGTGGGTCTAAATAAAGAGGAGGAATTTACTTTTTCTTATGAGCTGTTACCAGGGGCAGCCAGGCCTTCCTCCAAGCTCAGAGCAGCATCAGCAGCACCAGGGTGTTTCACAGCCAGCAGCCCCCCCAGTCAACTTCTAATTTCAGTTAAATGCAACAGCCATATTCCTGGAAACAAGCATGTTTTTTCAAGTCAAAGGGGCTGGAGGCAAGCCTGAAACAAAACTGTCCCAGACATATTTCAAAGATTTAATTACAGCTCTCAAAGGCTGTTTAATAGGCTCTATGAGGTACTCTCTAAAGATGCAAAATTGTTTTATAATGTTCCTCAAATTTTGTTATTGTTACTGACAAAAGCTCTGTAAAGTTTCTAAAATGGCCCGAAAGAGCATTAAAATAAACTTTATGTCCAGAAAGACTGGTATATTATCACATCTGACCTGCTGGCCAATACAGATCTCTATTGACCTTTGCACTGAGTGCTATAATGCGGTTTTGACTATTTGCTCATCTCGCAGAACAGCAGACAGGGTTTGAGGACAACAGGAGGTACAGAACCTGCTGTGATCTATAGCAGTTTGTTAAAAAACCCAACCCAAAACATTAATGTAAGATGTCCAAGTTTAATTTTCAAAGAACAGGGATGATCTGAACTGTACTTAAGGAGCTAGTACAAGTAATCACAGAAAGAGTAATGCTCCTGCTGCCTTCCACACTGGTACCAATGCTACTGATGGATATGAAAAATAAGGCTAAAGACTGGGGGTAAAAATTCCAAGTCTGACTCAGATACCTCAAAAATTTCCTGGTGTGCCCAAATGACAGATTTTTTTTTGTAAGAAAAAGACAATTAGAAAGGTCGAGAAGGAACTGAAAGTATCTTATGTTAAAAGATATGTGAAAGGTACGTGATCAAATTATAGAAATGTATGTTGTCTAGGGAGCACACAGGATTCAACCCTGCAACAGCTGAAAAAGTCACAGGAAGGTCTGGCTTCCCATTGCAGTAAGCAGATTTTCACTGACTTGACTGCAGCTTTGCCTTTAGCAAAAGCTAAATACAGCTTCAATGGTGTCTAATGCCTGTCAAAACATCCCCAAGAAAGTGTGTTATTTGCAATCCTGTACTGAACATGCCCCATGCTATTCTGGTCCTTCAGTCAAGCGGTTCCAGAAACAAAGGCAGACAACGGCTGGGAAAAGTAATAGCTTTTATTAGATTAACTGATATGCAGCGGAAGAAGCAAACACGTTTTTGAAGCATTTTGGCTCTGAAAGGACAGGAAAGGTGCCAGTGTGCCCAGAAGCTTGTCTGTTTATATTTTTTTTAGCTATATCAATCTGAGATTGTGCCACTAAAGACAGCATCGACACACCCCGACACAAACCTCTCCACGGCCTCTTTGCTGCAAGCTTGACTTTGTAACCTTTATGTTTCCTAACGCTGCTCTCTGCATGGGTGACACATGCTGAGCAGCCTCCCTTGCGATCTGCTGTGCTTCACCAGTATTGAATGTATTCCCACACTTGCAGGTTCTCCTTACAGTTCATGCAGCAACAGCTCAGTGGATCCTTGCCGCCTGGGGTGAACTGTATAACTGGACACGTCCATCACATATCCAATAGGAAGTGCTTTCCACCAAACTGTGGGGAAAGGCTCAGATGTTTGGGCTGTTCTTCAGTTGCTGCAGAAAAGGTTATGGTGTGCACAAGAAAATTATTTACATCAGCTTCAAGGGAAAGTCGAAGGTGTCTAGAGAAACATCCTCTTTAGCCATGGTATGTAGAAGACAGCTGTGCTCTGGAGCAAGTTACCTTAAAGCACTTCAAAAGTTCCAGTTCGTCCTTAGCCTGGGCTACAACAATTCCTTTATCACATATTCTCAGTTATAGTACTAGAGTATATTCCTTCTGAATGGTCTTGATTTACCATGGTGGTGACTTGCACAGGCTCAAGCTGTGTTAGCCGTAAGAGTATTTCTTTTGACAGTCCAGAAAGCAAGTATGAGTCCAGGGCATCTTTTTCTAGCACTCACCAACCCAGCATCTGAGGGCTGCAAGAGGGAAAGGGACACAAGTGCTGAGAGGTGGAATAGCTGGGGATGAGAATCAAAGGAAAAAGGTGTGCCATTAAAGGGCAAGCAGGATCAGCTTGGAGAAGAATTGTGAGGGTGGGTGGGGATTTGCATCTAGCTCTCCAGGAAGGTATAATTAGGATGAGCAGGACTGAGCGAGTCGAAGCACATTCCTGGCTGGCTGGCAGGGGGTGAGATAACCCTGGAGGCAAGCAGGACCATACTGAGCTCCCAAGTCTAGGAACATACCCTGGCCGCTCGCCAGCCACACCTCGCTCCTGCCACTGTGCTCCTCGAAGGAAAGACACACTCTCAATGGGAATAGCAGCTATGGCGCTCCCCAGCACAGCTCAAACCACACACTACTGCTCATCCTGGGCACTGCCACCATCCTTCAGAGAGGCTCACGACACCACAGACAAGTGCAGCGTCATGGGAAGTGAATGTCACAGTCATCAATGCAGACAGCTCTGCAAGAGAAGCCTCTCCTCAGTACCCATGAGGGCTCTGCTTCTCAATGGGGGAACATGCTTGGCCTCTGCATATAAAGATTTGGGGCATGGAAAAAAGGATAAAAATAAAACCAGGCAGAGATAGCCTTCTATACTGGCCAG